ATMAAATATATATATATATATATATATATATGTGTGTGTGTGTGTGTGTGTATTTTGAAAATGTTTGTTGATTAAATATGTATTTTGAATGAAAATGTTTGTTGATTAAATATGCATTTTGGATGAAAATGTTTGTTGATTAAATATGCATTTTGGATGAAAATGTTTGTTGATTAAATATGCATTTTGGATGAAAAGGTTTGATTGTTAAATTTTTAGGTTTGTTGGTTAAATAGATAGATTTAAAGAAAATGAAAGAAATTTGGTGATTAAAATAATTACAAAAAAAAATTCTAAATCCAAATCCTACAAACCAAACAGAGGAATGGATTTCAAATCAAATCCAAATCCTACAAACCAAACACATGAATGGATTTTAAATCCAATCCAATCCAAATCCCATGGAATCCAAATCCCTTAGAAACATTCCTGCAAACCAAACGCACCCTTAGAAATGCACAAGGCTTGGGATTGGACTTCCATGTGAAAAAAAGACCCCAGGTTGTGCTCGACTCAATTGAACTTTTTCAGACCCGACTTATTCGGGTTTTTCTAGGTTGGGCATTTTTAGGCCCGTTCCAAGCCCAGACTTGCCCCCAATTTTTCTACTTGATCGGGCTTTTTAGCTTTGGGTATTTTTAGGCCGGTCCTAAATCAAGCCTTGCCCTCAAATTTTCTGCTTGATTGGACTGTGCTTGGAAGTCACTAGACTCGGACTTTTCTGGGTTAGATTGGACCTGGCTTTGGACTTGTCAGAAAAGTCATTCATGGTTGATTGTGTTGTATCCTATTCCTATTCCTATGCACACATGATTGTTTTAGAATCCAAGGCCGGCTGTTGGCTTCTTGGTTCTCCCAAAGCCGGCACTTTCCTGAACCAGTCAACTCTTCCATTTCTCTATACACACATATATATCCCCACCACCAACCCTCTTGTTTAAACCTCTACATTCAAAAAATGGACATTGCTTTCATCATCCTGCTTTCCTTGATCTCAATCCCCACAACCCTTTCCCAATCTCCCACCTGCAACGGAATCTCCATCTCCTACATCTACAACTCCGGCTTCCAAATTCCACCCGCCACTCTTCCCATCAACCAGCCCTACAACTTCCAATCCACTCTCACTCTCACCAACGCCGCCCAAGACCGCCTCAAATCATGGCGGCTCTTTGTCGCCTTCCAACACCGTGAGTTCTTAGTCTCCTCCTCCAACGCCGTGCTTGCCGATGGCACCTCTCTCCCGGCCAACGTTACAGACGGCGCTGTCTTCGCTGGATTTCCGGTCACTGACCTCAAGACGGCAGTTGAGACCGCCGGTGATTTCAACCAAATGCAGGCTCGGATCCAATTGGTAGGCACCCAGTTTGGTTCTGCGCCCCCGAATATTCCGTTGCCGTCGACTATGTATCTCGTCAATGATGGCTTCTTGTGTTCTGATCCTTCAACTCCAGGTATACATATTATATATAGCCCTTCTCTTTTAAAGTTATTCTAGGACAATATCTGATATGATTGTCCCAATTTGAAATTTGTATAATGTAGTTTCGCGATCTGCTATCACAAAAAAAAGAAAAAAAAAAGGTTTTGATTCGTGCATTCTAAACCAACGTTTGATTTATTCAGCAAACAACGAGACACATGTGTGTTGTGAAAAAGACCCGAATGCAACCCCGAGCACAACGGTAGAAGAACCATTCGAGGTCCGACAAGAGGGCGATGTCATCATAATGTACGACGTAATCAGTTCACAAGAAACAGAATACATGGCACAAGTGACCGTCTCGAATCACAATCCCCTCAGCCGTCTTGATTATTGGCAGCTGAGTTGGGATTGGATGCGAGATGAATTCATCTACGCAATGAAAGGCGCATATCCGTCTCTTATAGATACAAATGCTTGTATATTTGGTCGGCAAGGGGAGTTCTACAAAGAACTCGACTTTTCAAAAGCTTTGAACTGCGAGCGACGACCGACCATTGTCGACCTACCGGTTGATAAGACGAACGATACGCAGTTAGGATTGGTTCCTTTCTGTTGTCGTAACGGGACTCTCTTACCACCTTCGATGGACCCGAGCAAGTCCCGTTCGGCTTTCATGATGCAGGTTTTCAAGATGCCACCGGATCTAAACCGGACTCAGCTCACCCCGCCTCAAAACTGGAGGATCAATGGCACAATGAACCCTGACTACCAATGTGGGCAGCCGGTTCGTGTTAGCCCAACTCTTTTCCCGAACCCAAGTGGGCTCACCTCCGACTCAACCGCGGTTGCTAGTTGGCAAGTGGTTTGCAATATAACACGGTCCATACCCGATACGCCCAAATGTTGTGTCTCATTTTCGGCATTTTTTAACGAGTCTGTAGTTCCCTGCACCACTTGTGCCTGCGGGTGTGACACTGAGGATACGTGCAGTATGACTACGCCGGCCCTTCTTCTCCCGACGGATGCACTTCTAGTGCCATTTGAGAATCGAACCGATAAGGCGGCTAAATTTGCGAAGGACAATGATCGGACGTTACCTGCTCTGATGCCATGCCCGGATAACTGTGGTGTCAGCATTAACTGGCACTTACTATCCGATTTCAAAGACGGATGGACGGCAAGAATGACCATTTTCAACTGGGGCGAAACTAGTTTTGCCGATTGGTTCGCCGTCATGGAGTTAGGCAAATCAATGGGGGGATTTGAAGACGTGTACTCGTTCAACGGTAGTCGGCTTTTGGGTTCTAGTAACACAATTTTCGTACAAGGTCTCCCGGGTTTGAATTATATTGTTGCTGAGAAAGACGGGAAGAATCCAAAGAAGGATCCACGGCTTCCGGGTACACAGCAATCGGTCATATCTTTCACAAAGAAGAACATACCGGGGCTCAATGTGGCTCGAGGAGATGGGTTTCCGAACAAGATCTATTTCAATGGTGAAGAATGCTCGGTTCCTTCGGTTCTTCCGATCACTAACCATGGTCCGCGAATGGCAGTCACCTTCGGCTCGGGTCTAGTTACCCTCATCCTGTTGTTTCTAGGATATCTGCTCTAAATGGTTTTGATATGATTCTTCCATATTCTTTTTTTATGTAAATCAAACAGTTGTAGTTTGATTCTTTCGATCCCTTAATTTCAAGGAATTAGAAACTTCAAAAGTGTTTTTTTAGGGGAGTGCTAATGGCACCCCTTTGATGTCAGAATCAGGTCATTCAAGCTTTGGGAATGTAAAAAGCATGTATTAATGTTGATATGTATAAGAAAGAAATTTATGAATAGGGGTGCATTAAGCAATGCATAGGAGTGCATTTAGCTCACCCCGTTTTTTAAGGTTATACGGGTACACCGGTAAAATGCTTTTGTTATGTAATCTACAACTACAAGTTGAACATCCTACGTCGCATCATTCAGAATTTCTGATCTTTCTGATACATTGTAATTCAGAAGAGAGGGTTTATGATCTTTTTGAAGTTCTGATACATTGTAATGCATTATTCAGGAGACAGGGTTTCTGATCTTTTTGAAGTTCTGATACATTGTAATGCATCATTCAGAAGACAGAGTTTCTGATCTTTTTGTAGTTCTGATACATTGTAATATATGGTCCGGATAAGTAATAAATAAAACAAAATATAAATGATGTTGATAAGTAATAAATAAAACAAAATATAAATGATGTTGATAAGTAATAAATAAAACAAAATATAAATGATGTTGTATACTTGAGGTGAGAAGTTTAAGAACATATATGGATCCTGATCATTTTTAATCTCACTATAACTGATTAATTGATCTGGTGCATCTCGTTAGTGTTGATCTTCAATTAAAATTGATCTAATAATGGAGATCCGTAACTTCTATTTTCACCGGAGCCCAACCCTATTATATTAAAACTTTTACAATTAAAACAACTAAGATGTCTTAAATGACAAAATCACGTACATAATTCATTTGAATAAAATCATTTTTCTGATATTGTTGGAGACAAAATCTTCAATCGGTTCTTCGTAATCAACTTTCTCAAATGAATCGTTAAATTGAAATATTAGCATATAGGAGTTTATCAACAGTTATTTACCTCAAGTTCTCAATAAATCTAGCTCGATTCTAGAGCCAAATTATACTTATTTTCCAAAGGCTATAGTGCTATGAACAATAACCGGATCGGTATCATGACAAACAAAGTCAACAAAAATTGCAGGTGAGGTTGCTCATGGAATAAGAAAGAAATAATATGGAAGATTAATAGATAAGGTATCATAAAATTAGTCATTAAGAAAATAAAGATGAAGGTACGAGTCAAAGGGGGAGTTCAATCATCAAACTAGAGACCTAAGGAGAATGGATTGCGAATTTGCAATCGTAATCGGGAATCCGCAAATCTAGTTGAAGAGGAAGGAATCGGGGGTATTCGGCTAAATTACTAAAATATTATAATTGCCTAAATGGCTAAAGTTAGAGGTAGAAGCTTAGAATGCGGTAGGAATTGAACTAAAACATGTATATAATTAAATACAGACCCAAGTCTCACATTATTACACCCTTCAACACGACCCTGATTCAAAAGATTGTTGTATAATAACATCAATATCGACAAAGATCTACCAACACTCGTTCAATTCGTCATGTTTACATAATCTAGTTTGATTAAAACAATAATTAATATACTCGGTAGCTATATACGATCCGGTCTATTGTTCGGGAAAATAATCGGGTTATATCGTAATGGTGATCTAGTGGTAGCAAAGGTTGTATATGAACCAAACATTCATTTAACAAAACATTTATGAACCATTCAACAAGTAATTTGAGATGTTCGTTTAATTAATAAATGAACAAACATGAATACATTTTTTTTGTTCGTTTAGTTAAGTGAAAAGACATAAAACAATGGTCTCATACAAATGTTATGACATGAAGGGGTGTTTGGTTCATATTAAGGGATGAAAATGAGCCATAATTTTTAGAAGAAAATACAAATCACAAAGATGATATCTAGAATTATAAAAGTTAACTCCACTTTCAGAGTTTCCTGCAAACTTTGATAACCAAAACTGAAGTTTACTCTAAAAACTAAAGCATTGGGTGTTTTTAAGTTTTTTTTTTTTTAAACAATTTTCTGTTTTTAAATTTAATTTAAAGGTGCAATTATCCAGATTTAAGGTTATATTTGGTAAAATAACTGATGGTTGATGAATTAAATACGTTTGATAAAAACTAGCTAATAAAATAGCAAAAAACATAAAATAACAAAAAATGACATGTTTAAAAATTAATTAAATTTAACATTTCATAATAATTTAAAATAATTCACTAAAAACGTAATATGTTAATTAATACAAATCAGATGGTGAAGAAAATTAAATAATAGAATATGTTAATTAATAAATTTCAATTTGATTTATTATATATAACTAAAAAATTGTATTTATATAATCAAATACGAGTTCTAGAAAATATCCACACTAAACGGTGATTTAAATAACCATTACATATAATATAAATCAAACCAAAGATGATCAACTTTACACGTAACATCTTCATTTTACCATTAGAAATGTCACGTAATATAAAACAATTTATTCAAAAACACTCCAAAATAACGACTTAAACTAAAATCGTTTACAACGAAATACTTTAAACCATTAAATATGTAACCCATCTCATACCATATTGCTTACAAATTTATTTGTCATATATGTTTGAACTTAAATATTGAACTTAAATCGATTAGACAAATCTCTATGTATGCCTTTTTCGCTTGTCCAACCTGAAACCCTTATGTCCCTGAGACTCATAATGTAGTCAGCTTACAAAACTTAGTGAGTTTATGGTCCGCATGAATAAAAATTATTTTGTATCATATATATCAACTTGTAAATATGTACCAAATAATATGCATTTTATGAAACACATGCAACACTAAAAGACAAAAGATCTCATAGACTGTCTGGTTGGGTATGAGTCATTTTGTCACTAGAATTCCTTGGGTTGTCTGATCTACACTTGTCCGTAAACATATTACAAGGTCATGCCACTTGTCATATGACTTATTGGTCAAATGTCCAGCCGTTAAGGTTGATCGTAAAACTTTCATGTGAAATAACATCTTATGGGTCATTTGAAAACATAACAAACACATACAATGTAACTGACCATAAAATAACATACATGTAAAATATACTGTATCATGTATGTAAATTGAAACATCATTACAGATCATATAAATGCTCAAAATAAACTCATATGTAGGTATACATCTTGTTCTAAGTCTCCTGAAAACCCATCTGTCCGTGTAGATCGACTATTGCTAGCTCTTGATTGAGAACCTTCAATTGCCGATAAATCAAAGATTTTGGATAGAGGAGGAGAATGTCGCCTACACAAACCTATAGTTTTTTGGTTATTAGATGACTAAACAAGCGAATAAAAGGCCTCAAAATCCGACCATCGTCCCATCCTTTTCAATTTGTAGATTGTCATATTTACAGAACATGTCTCTTTAGTTTGGACCTGTTGATGTCTGACATTGCCCCCGAACTATTAGGTTATGACATTCATCCCTTGGCTTCAAAGTTTTACCTAATTTTACATTTTCACCATTGCCTTGACACTTTCTTTTATTTTTAGAGAGTGTTTGGAATTGTTTATAAATACAACTTATTGACTTATTCTGGTGTGACATCGGTAATAAACACTTTTAAGTGTTTGGATAAACAACTTATACCGGTGCCAAATCGGTAATAAGAAGTTTTTGAAAAAGTTAAACTCTTTTGACTTATAATAAGTTGATAAGTACTTTTGTAGAAAAACATAAATTGTTTCAAATAAGCAATCCCAAACACCCCCTTAGTTTAATCGAATATAAACTCTTTTCTTTACTTCTCATTTTTTCTTAAATGACACGATTGACCTTTTTCATGTTTTTTTTCCTTCATATTTTTGGTCTAATAAAATAAAAACCAAGTTTTATTTTCCTTTTCTTTTTCCTTTACTTTTCACATGTATCTATTTACTCCATCTTTGAGTGCCACATTAAGCATCTTAACTCTTAAGTAATTAATATTTTCTCAAAAAAAAAAAAAAATTATTAAAATATTTATCAAAGCTTTACTATTTATAAAACATAATTTTAACTTTTATTTCAATTATAAAAACATTATAAACTTACTATATTTATTTTTATCAGCTAAATATATCTAATAATAATATAAAAATAAATGATATAATTAATCATGTTGATGAATAATTTACAACTAAAATTAAAATTAAATAATAAATAACAATTAATATTAATTAATAATTAATAGTAAATAACAATTAATATCGATTAGAGTTATCTATACTGTATTATAAAATATTTGACAAAAAAAATTCTTAAAAATAATTATTTATGCATGAGGTATTGTGTATTAATGCATGTTACTTAAAATTTAAAATTACAAGTAATTGTGCCTAAATACAACTTATTAAAGCTTCATTTTTTAATTCGTATAACTAACTGCAGATAAACATAATCAAATACAGGATAAATATCTTATTTTAAATATAAAAAATCTAAAATATAATTAAGATAATCATTGAGTTTATACAGAATCATTAATTTTATAAAAAAATATATTGTTAATCCAAAATAAAATACTTTGTTATTAGACCTAAATTAAATTATAATAAAAAATTAAATTAAGAAAATTGTATAAAAAATGAGAACTTTTAAATAGTTAATTTGATATTAACATCGATATGTTTTTTAAAACTTTTATTTAAAAGTAAAAATATTATCTTTATCGAAACCACAGAAAACCGTATTATATCAATAGAGACAAAAAATAAAATGAAGATGTATCTCGGTACATTGCACGAATACCCTCCTAGTAATTATAAAAAATGTTAAAACCTCCTAAAATATAAATATTATTCTCTTGAATAAATTAAATAATATAAATGCAAACATATACTAAAAAAAATAAAAAAGGCTATTGATCCAAGCAAAAAGGCAAGAAAAGCCCTTTGAAAGAATGTGGAAATTACGCGGGAGCCCCTGGGGTACATGAACCGTGTCTCACACGGCCACAAACATAAACCAACCCCCTCTTTCATTTCCATATTCCCCTTTCTCCTCTTCTCTAGACCTACTCCTTGATGAACAACCAGAAAACTCTGAATCTACTACTCATTTCTAATTTACCCTAATTTCACACACACACACACACTCATTTCCGTCTCCTGCTTTCTAATAAGCATCATGCGGAATTCAATCGGAGACCGTGATTCATTCCACTGTCGTCTTCTTAAGCAGACCACCCGTCTTCCTCTTCCTGGTTACTCCCTCTCCCTTTTGATTATTCTATATTGCTTCCGTCTTCTTGTTCTTACCTATTTTTGTTTTTATGTAATTTGTATTTGATTAGTTGATAGTTACATCGATCTCGAAGATAGTGAAGAGGAGGAAGAAGAATCGAATTTGGAAATCGGGTGCCCTTATTGTTCAGAGGGATTTGATGCCCTAGGATTGTGTGTTCACCTCGAGGATCAACATCCACTTGAAATCAAGACGGGGGTAATCGATTCCACCGCCCTTCTATTCTCTAATATACTTTAATGCCCTTATTTGATTATCAACATATTTGTTGCTCATCTTTGAGTTAGAACACCTAATTGATTACTGTTTTAGGATGAAATCCATTACTTCTTATATCAGAAAATATCCATTGTTAGTCTGTCGAATAGGAGATTATTAGGTTTTCGTTTTCTAGATTAGATTGTTAACCAATCAGTCCGTAGTACTACTTACACTGTGGAGAAGATTGTTTTAGACACCAAACTGGCAAATAAGAACCAACTCCAATATTTTTCTATAAAATCATCACGCTGTAAATCAACAAAGCCCATATCATTCTTATTAGGCATTTTGCCTGGTGGAAAAGCTACATCTAGTACCGGACCAATGATTTGGGCGTATGCCCCAGGACCCTTGCGTTGAAATAATCCATTAAAGAGGGGGGACCCTTTACATGTAAGACCTATTGCTCATGATGCTATATTGCTGGAAATGAGGATTACTGTGCATTTTATCAAATTATCTTCCCTCTATGTGATACAGTGAATTTGGGGTGTTATTTGTTTATTATAAATTCCTCTATATTGCAGGTATGTCCTCTTTGTGCTACTAATCTGGGGAGGAACATGATTTCCCACTTAATTATTCAACATGAAAGCACCTTGAGAATATCCTTTTTATCTCTTTAATTCAGCTGGAAATGACCATATTATATCTTGCTTTTATGGTTGGTTATATCTAACAAAAAGTGTTGAAATTATATTATTATATCCATGCTTATCTGATTGAGTATATGTGTATAATCATGATAAGCGGGCTTCTGTATCATCTGTGTCTGTGTAATGATAAACTTGTTTTCAATCAGTTGTACCCACAGTTTTAACATCGATGTGGACAAACTGTAATCCAAAACAAATAGACCCACTAAATCCCACTCAAAAATAGGGTTTTGTTTTGGGGGGGGGGGGAGACGTGCATAGAGATGACATCTATCTCAAAGAGTAGAGCATCTATTTCCGTGAACACCCCCGGCTTGTGCAAGAGTGTAACAAAACTGGTAGCACGAATGGAGATTAGCATAAGATGAAATAGGCAATACCACACATAGCAAGTACGGCAGAAACACAACCTCAGCCTAAACTGCCATCCCTCTACCCCTCTCCTAACCTATCCAACTCCCTTCTCCCTTACTATGCCAGCTATAGGTCCCGCAATCCTAGCCTGCTACCTTATTCCTTGGTCTCCAAGTACTCCTATCAGAGGTCATTTCTTGAAATATCTAAGGCGCTGTGTGTAACCTCAATTGCTTATCCCACAGCCTCCTCGGCGTTTCCCTCCTCAATTGCTCATCCCATATTCCATGTGCTCCTACACACTGTCTTTGGTGTAAAAACAGGTATTCTTTACTTAGATTTATTTGGTGTATATTTGCTCGACATCCTTCACAGTATGTTTTATTAGAAGAAAACACCAATAAATTTTGGATTTATTGTATATTTGTATGGACTATTGGGGTCAATGCTTAAATTTCTTGACGAAAAAGATCAAGGTCTTGTTAAGAGGAAGCTCCATGACGATGAATCTTTCTCTATCATATCGCTATTAAGGAGGAAGCTGCAAGAACATTCACGATCCCTTCAGAAGGAGTCGACTTCTGTAGCATCTTCTACCAATGCGGCAACTGATCCATTGTTACTCTCATTTGTCTATAATCCATCTCAAAGTCATGAGCCAGAAGTTGTGCAGCTTGATTCTTCTGCTGAACCAGGTTCATCAAAGATGCTTTCAAAGGATTACACATTAGAAAGGTACGGGTTACTTTTACCTTCTCTTACTTGCTATTCTGCAAGTGCTGTCTCCTCATCGTTTGTTTATTATATTTTCCCTTCTTTTGGTTAACAAGAAGCATTAAATAGTACCTTACATACTTGCATTGTTCACGACAAGACTTGAGCCCTGTAGCTTCAATGACATGTTCAGTAAGTTACACCACATGTTTTCTTACAACATGCTTGATCATATTTGCATTTGTTGATGCTGTGGGCATGCTTTCACTTAATAATATATCTTCAGAGCAAGGACTGTAATTTTTGCAGCTTAGTTTAAAGTTGGTATAGCATAGTATGGAACTTTTGATTATTCATTCCTAAACTAGTTAGATCCTTTACCCAGATGGTATGTTTATCATTCAAATTATAGGTGGACTAGATGAAGATATATGTGTTGATCACTCGATCTTTGTTAACTTGTTTGGAGATATTCACTTGTATCCTCTTACTGCTGTCTTGTAATGCGATTATCGCAAATGGTAAATTCTAGTGTAGCACATGTTATCTCAGATTCATTGGTTGATGATCAAACCTTTATTTTAAGTTATGTGCCCCATTATGGGTTGCAATGCTCATGGGGCAGAGGGAGTATCACTAGTACCAATAAGTTATATTGTGTTGAAGTGGCTAGATATTTGGATGGTGGTATACACATAGAAAGTAAATCTGCAATGAATGATGTTCAGATGATTTAAAATTGATGTCTATCCTCATCAATTGAAGATACAAGTTATTTAAGATCTAGTTGCAAAACTGTTTTCCGTTGTGAACTAGGGGATAAAGGAGAGCCGCGAGCCCATTTGTTCCCATTCATCATGAATAATGAACGTGATTCATGATGAATATCCGGTGAATATGTGGGATATATGGCACACTCTTTTTTGTCCCCTGGTTCACAGCGGAACTTAAGTCCTCCCTGACTCAGGATATTGAAATTTCTAGCTTCATGATGCTATTGGTTAGAAGTCTATGGGGTAGTGTATGTATATGAGCATGTAACTGTTAAAAATAAACTTTTGAGTACATGACAAGAGACATGATGCAATATGTGACTTGGGTAACACCTGTTTCATGGGAAAGTTACACTAGAGATGGAAGAAAACATGTTTTTTGCTTTTGCTGATGCATGTATTCCAGTATCTCTATTTCGCTTTACAGACTAATTCCTGAAAGTTGGGAAGCATTTAGAACAAAGAAATTGTTGGAGTTATCATTTCTCTCTAGTCTCTAGTACCAATACATTTGATGTTAAGAATATCTCTTGGTAGAGATTTCTTGTAAAACCACTAGCCCTTACTATGTTCATGATGAGAAGATTTTCATCTTCTTTATAACTCTCGAATAGAGTATTAGAACGGAAAGATCCATTGGATGACAAACCATTGTTTCTAAGCCATCTTTGGCTATTAATCAACAATTCGAAGTGCTTTTTTTGCGTCTTCTTGATAAGCCAGCATTTATATATAAATAAAAATGGCGGACTAGCTGATATTTATATCAGTTAATGAAAGAGCCCAATGCACAAAAAATGAAGATGTAGGAGGATTTGTTTGGGGAGTAATAAGCCCCTTTGTTGCTTCAGTTTTGGTGCATTCATGCAACAGGCTTGTATGGTGCTGGCATATGGGTGCCCAACAGGAAAAGTACAATCTGTAAATAAGTAATTCCATCATAGGGTGTGGAGGGTTTCAATTTTTTTGTTCCAGGAGGAATAGCCTCTCATCATGTTGCAGCAGGACCCAAGTTTGGTTGGAGCTGGTCCTTGACAATATCGATGATTAATATTTTTAGATATAGATAGAAACTAACACGACCCCAAAAGTCGAGATGTAGTTTGCAGCATATAAGTAATGTATGCAAACAAGACATAAGGAGAACTAGTAGAAAAATGTTATCGACATTGGGTAAGTAGCTATTATTTGTTGAATCTTTTCAACAAAACCAAAAATTATTATTCGGCTGTATATTACCTCTTACAACCATATCTGATTTGTTTTCGTGGTTGGCAGTGACATCCCAGGTTGTTCTTTGACATGCAAAGACCATGAAGAAAAAGCTCTGAAATCTGACTTCATACAGACGATATTATTCTCTACCATGTTTGGTGACGATTTGTAACAAAACAGTCGTAATGTGTTGGCCGTCTGCTTCTGAAGACCTTGACCAAAAATGGCGATAAGCTTAATGAACAAAGAGGGAGCAGGGTTAGATGTAGGGACTGAATCTCTCTCTCTCTCTATGGCACACATACCTAACCAGTTAGGTCATATTTCTGGCAGAATAGTTGTTTATGATGGATGAAAACTGAACAACAATCACATGTTGTGGCATTTTCTCCCCGTGTTTCTTAGTACAATACACTATATAAAGTAGCAGCATGGCTCTATTAACATTCTTCAATATCACGTACCAAACTATACATTTATTCTGAACAAAAAGGTGCATACAGAATGACCCATTTTTAAAGCATCAATTTATTGAGAACATAACACCGAAAGTCATTTGGTAAAAGTTTTTAGAATGTTTTAGGGTTTTAATTTTACATGGATAGTTTAGTAATCTAGAGTTAGGTTTAGAGGAAAACTCTAAAAAAATGGAAAACAAAGGTATACCATGGTAGCTGTTCATCTATATGGTATGTGCATGTGCATAACATGCACATATGCATAAATACAAGAAACATTTTTAATTATTTGTACATGAATGGTTATTAAGGTGTTTTTTTGTGGGTTTTCCTAAACCTCCCTCTAGTAATATATCTTATATTTTTGTTCCATGTGTTTTAGAATAACAATTTAGTGTGGCACTAAACATGGAATTTTGTACCATCTTATCTCATCATCATGGCCTATTTAAGAAGATTATTATGTATATTGAGATTACCAAGTACAAGATTATTGAAAGTTTGCATCACTAAACAAGTGAGATAATGGTAAGAGCAATTTTGGCAAAAATACTTGCATGTGAAGCTTATTAGGAATAACGGGTAAGGAAAAACTGGTAATCCGGGAGAAGAGCCTGCAAATGGTAGCCGCATCTAGAAGAGCATTCTCTTGCTCGCATTCTTGACGACCATAAGGACTTATGATCGAACCTTTGAACTTGTAGGAAGCCATTTCAATTACTGGTAGACGAATTCCATCAACCTCACTCATTCTTGAGAACTTTGCCTCATCGTAACCTGTATGTACATATACACACACATACAAAATGAGAGAGAGAGAGAGAGAGAGAGAGAAATACGTGGGAATTTACATAAATGGTCAATCTATTCAAAGGGTTTCACTTTTTAGTCATTTTTAAATCTCATTTCACTTTGTAGGCCAATCCTTACTCAGAAGGCTTATGTGTATGCGTAAGGATTGATTTTCGATAAAAAGAAGTGGAATTGTGCGTAAAGGATTAAGTTGAGGTCTAAAAATCACTATAAAATAAAAAGAGTTTAGAAGATTAACTATTTTGTAAGTTTCCTTATCTACGTACATCCAGGCTGTGTTGACAAAGAATGGAAGGTCAAGAAAGATGCTTCCAGATCCTTTAATGAGGGGCCCATAGGTATTCTATAGATTGGATGCCAAGCTACACATATCCAGCTTGAAGCCGATAGATCACAGCTCCTGTACTTGCTCAGCTCTGGAAATTCAGATGCAAGACCTGAAACCTGTTTTCCATCCAAAAAGTTCAGCTCAACCGACAATAAGGTTTGGACCTTTGGGGTTTGGTTCGAATTCTGTAAGGTCATCCGGGATTTACCTGACCAGTCTCCGGGAGTAGCTGGACTGGACACCAATGATTAACCAAAAAAAAGTTATATGGTTGCTTGGTTAACTTACCTTATCAGCTAAAGGTGGTCGAGAACGCGGGTGCTCTTGTTCCATATATTCAAAAGTACAAACTTGAGACAACTTCATCACAATTGCTACCTAACAGAAGACGGGGAAAAATGGAATTATTACCTTTGAACACAACCTCTATATCTCATAAGAAATGTTTATCCAACTCAATTTTATTGATTTTGTAGCAGCATTCTAGTATGATATATAAACAAATGAAAAAATAGCATTTAACATCGAAAAAGAGAAGATGAATAGTGTAGTGTTTTATAATATAATAGAGATTAACGGTTATATAGGATAGTTTGGGATAAGGTTGAGACGGATCAGAGGCTTCTTATGCAGACTCTAAGTCTTCTGATTCCATACTAGGGTCCTTTAACCAAATGCTTATGCACGCACTAAGGTAAGATTCAACATTATATTGACGTCACTGGGTAAGATTGTAGTATATCAAAATGGTATCGTGTGCAACAATTTACTATGTAAGTGCGAGTCATCATTCTCACTTACCCAATAAGATTCTCTTTCCTTATCATTGCTCTTACCGAGTAAGATTCTTTGTCTTGTTCATATGGTAAGGTAAATGATCCGGTATGTATTTATCGGGTAACCATTTAGTAAGTGGCCATTTAGTCTCCAAAAACGCTAAAAGGCCGTCTACCAAACGTTTTCCCGTAAGCGTTTACCAAATCACATTACCTTACCAAATGAATATGACAAAGACCAAGAATCTCAAGGCTTTTCAGTTTTTTTTTTATCAACTTGTCTATCGCAGCATAACTCCCACTCATAATCTTAAGTCTCTCACAACACAATTCACCCCCACCCTGTTTAGGTTAAAGTTATGGTTTTTTGCTTTAAGTGTTATTTTGTGTTCTCTCTAAACTTTGATTTTTGATATGATTGAGAAGTTTAACTTAAAAAAATTCAATGCTTGTATTAGATTATATATAATATTTAAGTGATATATTTCTTTCATTTGTAAGTTTATTCATTCAAAATTAATATGAGTATTCATTGAGTTTTCCCCATAATTTTATAGGCTAGAAAGATCAATTTGTTCAATAAAAAATACAAGAATATATGTACATAAAGGATCAAATGACTTGATCGATTAAAAGTTGAATGGGTTGTATGAATAATACGGAATCCTCCTCCAACGACACTAACATGAAAGCTAACAGTCGAGACTTGTCTTGTATTTAGACAAAGTCAAACCATCTATTTGACAACTAAGCTACAAACTGACCAATACATGTATTAATATTTTATTGATGGATCGTCTCTCCTAATAGGAATGAGCTGTATGTTTGTGTTTTTTCCTTCCTTCACATCACAAGTTTTTAGAGCATCTCCAATCATACTACAAAACATCAATTTTGGACGTGATGGTTGGATGCTTTAAAACACTAAAAAAAATTCATTCAAAGGAGAGAGGTGTTTCATTCAGCATAAATTTCTACGGTGCACCATTTGCTCTTACAGATTTATTTTTATTTGTTTTTCAAATTTTAATATTTTTTGATAATTATAATATTTAAAAATACGGTTTAATAATAATGTAATATAGATCCATAAATTTCATGTATCAAATCGTTTTTTAATATCAAGGTTTACGATGTTTTTGTAAGTTTTGACTGATCTCTATTATATTTATTTTAGATGAGGGAAGACACCACTCAAATATGAACTTTTTAAAATATTGTAGCTAAATTTTTTTTTTTTTTTTTTTTTTGCTTCTATATGCTTATTTCCCTGTCTTTTTCGACGGTTTTCCAATGCCCTAGTCCGTTTTAACAAAAACCTTCACTGCTTTGCTTCACAGTGTTCTCTCCATATATTGTCACCGTCGGGTCTTGCAATCATGCTACAATGATAGTTGATGATTTTGTTAAATATTTCTCGGATTTTTGTTCTTTTAGTTTTATATATGTTCAAACCAATTGATGTAGCAAGAAATTATATAAAGTAAATAATAGTATACTTTATTATTCGGTCGACCAGTATGGTAAAAAAATGTTTGAGATCGAAATTACCTTATTTGGTTAACCGAACCGTTTAACCGGCAAACCAAATAACCCCAAACCCTTTTGGTTTGAATGAGTTCGGTTTTGGATTCTTTTTATAGCTTAGTTCCTAGTCATGTAAGATCCGTTTGGTTTGCAGGAATGAAACGAATTTGGGGGATTTAGGCTTCAAATCCACTCCAATTTTATGTTTGGTTTGTTGAATTGTCCGGATTTGAAATCCTAGGATTTAATTGAAATCCTTCAAACATAGGATTTTGAAATCCTTAACAGTGCTTGGAATTTCGTAGGATTGTATGCAATAAGGTTCTAAAAAAATGTTAAAAACATTTCTTTTGTAATAATCAATTAATAAAATTGTAATATAATTATTTTTATGATTATTTAAGATTTTTATTAAATAATAAAATCTAATTTATTCTAAATCCTACAAACCAAACACCATTCGAATCAAAATCCCTCCAAATCCAAATCACTAAAAAATAATGCAAATGTATCATCAGGGTTCGTTTGGTTTACATGATATTGTAATAGATCTGAAATCATTGGTGTGTTTGGTTTATAAGATTTAATTTAGAATTGAATTATATTATTTATAAATAATTTAAAAAATTAAATTATATTTTTATTAATCGATTATTTTAAAACAAATATTTTGGTATTTTTAAAACCTGATTACATACAATTCTCTAAAATTCCGTAAAATCCATAATATTTCTTTAAAGATTTTAAAAATAAGATTTCAATTAAATTTTAGAATATTAAATCCAAAAACTATGAAACAAAAATAAATATAGAGATGGAAATGGATTTGAACATTCCTGCAAACCAAACCAAATGGCACCTGAGTTTCTGATACGTGATTGTCATTTTCTATTTCGATGGCCATGCAACCTTCAACTTTACCAATCAATTGTTCGCCAAATAGCCGGTGGCGATGCTTATGCCGACTATGAAGTTGCTTTGTTCATTCTCTCTTTATTTTTATAACTAATGACTGAAGTAATCAACGATTAAGGCGAACTTGTGTCAGAGTTGTTTTCGGTGATATATCGGTTGATCCGAGTTTTTTTTGTACTCGATTGTTATTGACATTTGAGATATTATATTGTTTAGCTCTCCACACACGCATGATTTATCATGCTTACATCTGTATGTCCTTTAGATTTGGTGAAGATCAGGTTCCTGTTCCATCAGGGTTCTATGGTATTGAAATAGGTATGCAACTACGATTGCTTTCAGTATTTTTGTAATTCCTGAAAACTGTCTTTCAAATGCAAGCATGGTCATGCACATTTGGGGAATTTTGACATTACTACATACAATTACAAACTGCGCAATAGTACGGTAAGCTTATATTAATTATATGCAGCTTTTATGTGGGATTGAATTGAATTGAATGGCTGACTAGGGATCCATTTGAGGCTTCTGAATTGAGTACCGTAGATATTTGATTTGTGGAGGCCATGACTAGGTCTAGGAATGATGCTGATAATTGGCAGAGAAAACTGTGCTTCAATTAATTTATAGTACTT